GTGAAGAGCCTCCACAGAGCCTGGCCAAACGCAAATACCCCCAGGGTAGATGCGTTGAGGGTGCCCCAGCTCAGGCAACCTTCAGAAGGGCCAGCTATGGCCGCCGTCCTAGGCAAGGGTCTCAGGATGCCACTTGCAGACAATTGCCACTGCCAACTTGCTTGGCTTCTCCAAACGTTGCGTCGCGAAAATGAACAGCCAAAAGTCCCAAACCGATTTCCCTAATCTATTAATAGAACTCTACTACTCTAGCCTAGACCTAGACCACACTGACTGAACCGGCCGGTACCGTTCCAGTTTCGGCCTCTTGGCCTCTCCCTACCCGGCTATAGGCTATAGGACCGTCTATCAGTATAGGCCCCTTCGGGCCTGTCCGTCCTAGGGGTAGCCCGGGTCTGCTAAATGCAGTAGGGGTAGCTGTAGGAAATTCAGCTTAGTGTTGGGCCTATATTTCCCATATTTGCAGATATGTCCCTAACGAATTTTCCCTACAGGTAGGTCTCTCGGTTAGCCCTCAGCCAAACAAAAATGACGAATCTAACCTACGACTGTTACTGTACAGCCTCGCAGACAGCCTCGACAGTCAAAATCAGCAAGTCATTGCATTTCTCTGTATACAGTATTCCTCTGCGCTCGTATATACTCCGCAAAATGGAGATGAACGGGCAAGCTCGGACTGGACTGTTGCCGTGCGGTTCATTCCGCTTTTTGAGGCCTTTCTCACGCTTATTGCCGCACACAAGTTGCAAAAGGGGAAAGTGATTATCAACACTCTTTTTGTCTCTTCTTTGCTTCGTGTGAGTAGCGGGCCCTGGCTTATTCTGCTAATCATTCTTGATGGCTTTCTCTGGCTGCTCCTAGATTCTTCGCCCATGTCGATAGACTTCCTTTTTTCGCCCTTGCTTGATGACAGTATGTGAAGTTAGAACTGCCTTACCTCGTGTCTTCTTTGTCTTGGTTCGTTCTGTCTTGACGCTGCGAGTTTCACTCTTGCAGTGATTGCCTGCTGTCCTATTCTCTCGGAAGGGATTTCACTCGTGAAAGCTTCTCCCTTCCCTTTCCCGCTTTCGTTCCTTTGCTGTGTTTGGGAGACCTCCTCCTTGTTGTGTCCCTCCTGTCTTAAGTTCCTTTTCTTCCTCAACACACTCCTTCCGCCCTTGGAGTAGGGCAGATGCGTGTTTTTTTCCTTCCCAAATCTACTGTTGCTTCTTGTCGTTCGCTGGTTTCTCGGTGCTTCCCTTTTCGCCTTCTTTGGGGAAACTTAACACTTCCTTCCAAAAGGCTGTTCCGCTACACCTTCTATTTCCATCATTTCTCCCTGCCCTCTCTTTCTTCTCTCATCTTCTTCTTGTCCTCGCCCGTCTTTCTCGTCTCTTTGTCACGAATAGCCACGCCCGTAGGCGTGGCGAGACGTGGGGCGTTCTTTCCCTCTTTTTCCCGCCTTAGACCTTCGAATTCGCAAACGGAGATGGCGTGCGCCTGGTAACGCGCGCGGTGCCATTTCTCCCGCGAAGGGAGAAATTCCCTCGGGCGTGTAGGCGTGGCGTTAACGCAGTGGGTTAACGCTACCGGTCGGCGCTGGCGCTCTCGCCCGCTGTGCATATCTCATTATTGGGTTGGTGTGGATTTTCTCTCTCCAAGTCTGCTCTACAATTGCATGGGCATATGGGAACGGGTGAGTTGAGTGCCCATAGAAAGTGAACTTGATATTGTCTGTTCCTTTCTTTTCCCTCATGTGAAACAATTCTGCCGATTTTGTAACAACCATTGATAGTACGAGGGATCATAGGCTCACGAAAGATAAAGGACTCGTCAACAATGTGGGGAAACAATTTAAATGCGTGAAAGACCGGATACGTGCGCAGATGAGGTGGCACGACAATCACATACGAAGTACCAAATGAATCATCCCCTACCACCTTCAGAACTTGCCAATAGTACAATGGAAGAAGTTTACGCGACACTCCCTCTTCTTCCGAAAATTCAGACATTTTGACCCAGACATAACTTCCGGCTTTTAACGACACAAGTTTGCGTTGCTTGTTAGCAAACTTGATCATGGCATGTTGGCGCTTGGTCATCGTTGCAACAACAACTTTGGGCAAGTGCAAGTACTTGGTGTTGTAGCCAAGCATGTCGGGCATCAAACCAGGCGCTCGATCAGGGAACAAGAATGATAGAGGATTGAGAATCTGCCATCCGTAGTGCAACCAGCTTGGATAAAGTTTTTGTACAACCCCTTCACTATTTCCAATTTTTTGTCCTACGTGTTCTGATAGGGAACGATTGGAGCACGAAGAAGTTGAGTAACAGTTTGGTTGATTTTCTCAGCCAATCCATTGGCTTCTGGATATCGACCAGATGTCATCCTCAGTTTAATGTCGTAGATCTGAGAGGTGAAGTTCCTCCAATCTGCACTAATGAACCTGGTGTCCCGATCACTCACAAGAGTTTTTGAGGGGTCATACTACATAATGTACTTCTGATGGGATTCATTAATTGCAAGATCAGTTGTGCATGAGGTGGTAAAGGAATCAGATTCATAAATTTAGAGAATGGATCAACAATCACCATGACTTATGAGTGTTCGTCCTTACTTACCTTTCCCATATCGATGAAATCGATGGCAACGGACTCACCAGGTCTGTTGGGAATGGGAAGGGGTTTCAACAGGTCATAAAGCTTATGCCGATGGACCTTGATCCGTTGACAAGTCTGACACTCAACCACAAATTTATGAACAGATCCCTTCATACCCGACCAATCAAATTGCTGCAGAAGACTTGCATAAGTCTTCTCAAAGCCAAAGCATCCACAATAACCATGTGCCAAATCCAAGAAATGAGTTCGGAGAGGCTCATAGTTGGGCACACACAAACGGTCGAACGTCCCATAGCGTCGAAATAAAAGACCCTCACATTCATGAAAATCAAGATGACTACTGGGGTCAGCCTTAATCTGCTTAAGGATGGAACTGAGGTCCAGATCCTTGGCAGTATGCTCGACCAGATCCTCCTTTTGTTTCCTTTGGAGGTCGTAAGAGCTCACAAGGCAAGTCAAAAATTGAGGATGACGAAACAAATCATCAGCGACACGATTTTAACAGCCTTTCTTATGTTTCAATTCAAAATCATATACATCAATCTCATGAGATCAGTTTGTGATTTGATCCACCGCAAGGTCTGATAACCTAGTAGACCTTGAAGTGGCGACCCAAAAGGTAGTGCTTCCAATTCGTGAGTGCCTCATACAAGCCATAGAGCTCACGCATATACATGGAGGTAGGTACCTTGCGGCTGGTCATGTGTTTGCTGTAGTATTCGAGCGGACGCAAGCCATCACCATCATCTTGTTGCAGCACTGTGCCAATCTCATACTAGCTCGTATCCATAGTAACTATGAATGGGAGTTTAGGATCTGCCATTGCCCTTTCCTTTGTTAAAAAAAAAAAGGAATTTCAGGAAATCTCAAGAGAGTGATCTTTGGGATTTTCAAGTGGTGACTTACCACCGCAAGATTGGCGTTTGTTGTCTGACATCAACAGCAGGCGCTTACCAGCAGAACGATGTAATGTCTGGTGGAGCTGGTAATACTGCACCCCGGCCTTCTGCAATGGATGGTGCAGTTGTGGACTCGATAGTAGAAGCGCATTCGGCAACAGGCACACCAAGTTCTGCAGCTGCAGCCACTGCAGCCATAGCTGTGGGTGAAATAACGAAAGCTGAGGCAGGAGAAAGTGTCAGAAACCACAGCTGCAACTGCGACAGATCAAGTATTTCTATACTCTTAAAGGAAGCAAAGGGCCCAGCATGACGCCTCCCGCCGGGCCCAGCGAAATTCAGTGTGGAGGCGCGCGGGACTTGGGCAAGGGAAATCAGGCGTGGCGTTTCGTGGACACGGGCGGGCCCGGGGCAATGGAATTAGGGCATGGCATTTCACGGTGGTACCGCAGGCGCGACAGAGGCTGCGGGGCCTGTGTGCGCGTTGACGAATGTGGGAGCGCGGTGCTGTGTGCGAGTGCGAAAGTGCGGTGCGCGCGCGGGCCTGCGGAGTTTTTTGTTTCTGGCCATCGCCCTGGGCAGGGGGGGGGCAGATAACGCTATCGGACCGTTGGCTTGTTGTCACTAAAAAGTTCCACAAACCGTATCCGAGCAGCGATGACCAGAAGTACTGATGTGTGAACAAGAACAAGGAATTTAACAGCACACAATCCGGTGAGCTCATAGTTAGGTATTGCCAAGAACCACCTCGCCCCAATTGTGTATGCTCCCCTCCAGACTGCTAGCCTCATGAAACAAATATCATTTACATGGAAGAAAGTGCAAGTCAGAAGTTGGGAGACGTGACACTACGGGCTGCTTTCCACCTTACTAGAATTGCAGTCCACTACGTGATCACAGCTGCTGCTGACGTAAAGAATCAACAGCCATGAGCTGTTAGTATTACATCTTGTTAGCAGACTGAAACGATGCCCTATACCCTTACATGACTCAATCAAGCAGGGGTGTGGCACATGTCGTTCCCAGTTTAGAGAACTTGTTGAAGGTCTCCTGGAGTTTCTTTCATCTGGGCCCTCTCGTCCTTCCCTACACAGCTTCACAGTATCCAGATGAGTTCGCACACCTTGATTGCTCGAGGGTTCATAGTCAAGCATCTGCATGTTTTGTTCAGATCTCCTCCTTGGATCCATCCACTCTTACCCACTCTCCCCTTCAGTACAAATAACTTTGCACAGCCAGAGAGCACACTGCCGGATGAGCTATGTCTGTTATGTCTGTCTAGGTTCTGAAACCCCATGCATGTTCTCGGAATTTCATTTTTGCCATCCGATTGGGACAGTAAGATTTCCTGACAAAGACTTGAACACAGTCCGGTGGGGCCTGCCATTGAAGCATTTGCAACATTTCTACATATTTCAAGCGTGGACAGCAAAGAGGGAACGCCATGCTCTGCTTTAGTCATGTGGTCGTAAGCTGATCAATTGGGCTGCTATGACTGACCTGTATGTAGTCGCCCTTCACTTCAGTCAAGCATGTGGCCAAAATGCGATCAAAGGTAGCGCGACTTATCGCTTTGCCATGAGTTTGTGGTATCAATGACCGGACCTTGATGAACCATTCTTCCTTCATTGGTGCTATATCCTCATCCCGAAGACCACGGTCCAAATAATATTTGTAAACCTGAGCACATGGGAAGGTAGATGGAACGGACAGGCACAAAGAAGTCAGTTATGGAGTCATACAGGAAGAAAGATAGCAATAAACACAAAATAAGCGCAAAGATTCAGATGTTGATGGAAGAGTAATTCAAACAACATCTAGAGTAGATACTAGGTAGCCATGCAACCAGCCTCGTCTTCTTTCTTACTCAGCATGCGTGAAAACAGATGGCAATCACACTGGCGACGAGCACCCACACAAAGCTCAAAGACATCATGGCCAAGAACACAGCTCAGATTCAACTTGCTTCGAAGTTCGAACAGCTATGGTGCCTGTGTGCCCTCACAACACCCTTCAACGCTGTATCCTCGGCAACTGTTCACACGCACGCTACTCTCGATCTCCCTGGATGTCCCACACACGCACACAACTCACTGTACACTCATACACATACACGCTGCAACCTATCTCTAACCTAGAGCAGCTACGGCTGCTTTCTACCTCTCTCACTTTTTTTTTTTTTTAAACAGAACCTTTGGGTTCTGGCTCCTTTTCCATTCTGGGGAGCGTCAGTCCAGTTCCTATTCCCCCGGCAAGTCATAAATTTACATAAGATACTCACTCACGCTCCTCCCCCTTCTGGTGTGGAGGCCCGGAAGCCAGCATTGATTACTGCTCTTGAGAAGGATGTACCGAACTTCATCCCTGCCTAAGTTAGCCTATTCTAAACAGATGCTTTCTCGGATACTTATACTATGTACTTTTTGCTGAGCTGGTCTTGTCACCACATGAAGTTCCTCTCAGTCAATTGGACCGCCAGATTGGTAATACTTGCTAGAACTGTGGGATTGGTGTGTTGACCTTCTCATGTTTGTCTCACTTGGCTGATCCTCAGGGTGGTAAGGTAACCTGTCTATTTGGTTCTGGAATGTATGGGTGTCTCCTCTCTCGCTCTTGTCTGGATTACCTTGTTGCTGTAAGTGACTACCTTTTTACCTGTCTGGGTCGGGAGACTTACATCTAAACATACCATGTTTTTGGTAGTGCTATTCTATTAGACTCAGGTTGGGACCTGAACTAATGTGTCTTCTGAAAGAGGGAACGCGCGGGAATCAAAGACGCTGGGCCACGCCGCGTCACGGGCTGACGTGGAAACTGGTCCAACCCCTCGCGACAGCGGGGGTGCCACGCAAGACTCCGGGCACGCCGCGTTTTTGGACACGTGGCAAGGGATCACAGCCGGCGTTGTGGCTGGCGCTGGAGTTGCAGTGGAGTGAGTCCTTGGTGAAACCAAAGTGTACGTAGGAAGAGGCGGCAACAACAGATCGAGACGAGGCAACGAACAACAGCAGCTCAAACACACAAGCAGAAACAAGAGGAGTTAGAAGCAGGTGAACAATTGTCAGTGATAGAGAAACCCTGACGGGGACGGCCGAACTGGTGGGGACATGTGGAGGAAGGTAACCTGGACGTATGGTGGATGGGGGTGTGCGGCCGTGATGTTACTTGGATGTGCGACACGTGGCAGGGGTGACATGTGACAGGCGTGAGACTTCGGCCAGACGGGAGAGTGCCTTGGCGAAAATTGGCAGAGGGTCACGACGCAAAGGAATTACGTGGAACGCGGCTGTGCTGTTACCTGGGGGTGTGACACGCGGCAGGGGCGACCCGCGACAGGGTTCGGGAACACGGGGCAGGGGCGACACGCGACAGGGTTCGGCAAAAAGCGCCAGCGGCTCGACAAAATCTGGCAACAGGACATGACGCAACGAAACTGGGAGGAAGATGGGAGAATGGAATAACAGAGAGGTAGAGGCAGAAAAGTAACCTTGGCACGGACACGCGACAGCGTTCAAATCCCTGTATAGTTAAGGCAAGTTCCTCTAACGACGACGGGATTGGAGGAGAGAAATAGGACAGGTATTACTCCCTCCCTCTCGCCCCCTCTCCCCTGGCCCTGCCCATACCTCTGTTTAACCTACTCCCCGTTCAGTATCACCCCCGGAACCCTGTGACGTCAGCTCAGACAAAATTCCTTCGAACCAGCTCAGAAAATAAGTGAAATACGATGCCGGGGACACAGAAACACAGAATGGATGGATCAAACAAGAGGGTTGGGAAGCCAGGGTCCCTCATATTTTATCGAGGAGCAATGAGACACAACCCATACAAACACCTGACAATAAACCCTTATACGAGACCAGTTGGCGTGAGGAACAAGAAGTCCACCCCTCAGACAATGGAGCGAGCAAGTGGGCTCCCCACTCAAACAGAGATGTTGTTAGACCCGCAACAGTGGCCACCCCTGTCAAATGAATGTAACAATGGAACAATAGCAGCCCGGTCTGACCAAACATCGGCCTCCTGTAGCGGGACACCCCAAGAAGAAAGGAATGTGACGCAGGAAATTGCCTCCCCTGAGAATGACCTCATCATGGAGACAGAAGAGGAGGCTGTGGAAGGTGGGAGTGCAAAAGATGAGGGGGTGTTAACAGAAAAGGAAAATAACACAGAAGAAAGGAAACAAAAACAGATCCCAGAGTCCGACCGAACGTTAGATGCAGAAAGGAAAAAAGGATCATGGGCACAAAGAGTTAGGTGCACAATTCAGGAGAAAGCCCTTATGATAAAACGGGTTTCTCCTGGAGACCAACAAGAAGGGAACGAAGTGTTGAATGTACCCCTCCGTAACCTCTCAGCTGCCAGAGCATACTTCCTCACGCTGTTTCTCCTCCCCTCAGAAAATCAGGTGGTCGACCAAGGAGGGAGGAAAACACTGATGAAAACCTACCCTGTGGATAAATTGGAAGCCAGGGACAAAGCATACGTTAAACATGCAAGCAACTGGTTGTTCCATGGGGAGGCTGCTCAGAAATCAGTCAACAATAAGATACGATGGATATGTAAGCGATTAGAAGAGATGAAGGGCAGCACAGAGGCGGTGCATGAATTTTTCTTAATCCAACCCCTCTCCTCAACGGTGTTCACAGTTCTCAGCCTCTTCCCCCAGGACAAACAGAAGATGGACGGATGGAAGAAGATCAGATCGGGAAGATCAGATGTGCGCATATACCCATGGCAACTGAAGAAACTGACCCCCGAAGAGAAAAGAGACCAATTGATGAAAGATTTTTACTGGGTAGAACTGAGACATATACCAGTAGAGGTTCAGGCGGACTTTGTGTACGATTTCGGTCAACAATACAACATTGTTGATTTCATTGACCCCCTCCCATCCTATGTGGCAAAACGCGATGATTACATGACGTTGGCTCTGGACATCCCTAAAGACCAACCTTTTTCAATTGACGACATTATCCCGTTCAGGATGGGAGGGAAGACTTACCAAATTCACACAGCACACAAGTTCAGGCCCTGGTGTTTCAAGTGCAGGGCGTACGGACACCTGTGCACGGAATCAGCCTGCCCCCAACACCCCAACAAAAGGAACCCGTCAGCGGGACGTCTCCAACGAGACCTACACAGGCCCAACAGGTGGCACACGGCGGACCCGGGCCACGAGGGGTCGGTCTATCTCGAAGACCTAGACTCCAAGGGCCAAACAAAGGGCTGGGTTTGGGAAGGCCGAGGAGGCCATTGCTGGGCCACTAAGCCCCCAAACGACTGGGTCCCCCCAGCCGGGAAGGAACCCAAGAAGGCTGCAAAACCTCCTGCCTCCGAAAAGGAACCCGAGCCCAGGCCGCCGGCCCAGGGGCGGCTCCCCCCACCCCAAGGCAAGAACAACCAGCAGAACATACTATCCGAACAATCGACGGACAAGCAGAAAAAACCTGATTTGGGGCCTGCAGCACGAAATACTTACCAGTAGGACCACTGGCAGTGCAATCACGTATAGAGAGACAGCAGAAAGAATGGAGGCTCAAGGCCAAAGAGCCAGATAAAACCGACTCTCCGCACCCGATAAAAGGCATGCCAGAGGCCTCAGATGGGGGCCAGAAATTACACAGTGCCATCACAAAGGAAACCCAAGAAAAGGAGGACGCCTTTGAAGAGGCTTTCGGCCCGGTGCCAATGGAAATAGAGATAATTCCAGGGGCACCCTCCCCCCCTCCTCCCTCGCCAAACCCACCGGAAGTGGAAATGACGGACGCTCAACAGGAACAGGACTGCGCAACACCGGGACTGGGCCTACAGGAAATAGCGGACTGGCTGATGGACAGCCTCCATGCAAAATACAACAGGGGCAGTGACGATTTCTGGGACGGGGTGTACAGGGCTTTAATTCCCATGCTGGAAAGCAATGCCAGCCTGCACAAAGCGCTACTGCAGGGTCTCCCAGTTGGAACAGATTGGCAAAATACTTGTCAAAAACTACTCCACATTGTCCTTAACCGCTTCAAACCCCCAACGGCCGATCAAGAAACAAGAGTGGAAAAGGACGACTCACCAGTCCATCACACTGCAGCCAACAATGAGACAAAAAGGCGGAGCACAGAAGGTATCCCGCCGACAGAGGACGACCAGGCGTCAATCGATGGGAAAAGGCCTTGGACTGAACAGGTGGGATCGGGCGCTACTCAGTCAGACGGACAGGAGCGAGATAGGAGGGACGGTACGGACGAGGCAGCTAAGACCCCACCGGAAAATGCAAACCGTTCCATAACAAAAACACCAGAGATAAAGGGACATCGAGCGGGTTCAGGCACAACACAGACAGAGAGCCAGGAAGGACGAGGGGGGTTGGGTGTAACACAGGCAGAGGGGCAGGAGCGAGACAGGAGGGACTGCACAGGCAAGGAAAGACAGCAGGGCTCACACGAGAAAGAAAATAGCCCTCAAAAGGAACCTACAGAAACAAAGAGACAGGATACCCCCCCGCCTGCAGATGGCCTGGCACCAACTGCCGAACAAAGGCCTGGTTCAGAAAAGGTTGGACTGGGGACGCAGGATGAAGGGGAATGGAGAGGAAGGAGCGAGATCCCAGTGGAGGACGCTACACAGACAGAAGGTGAACCCCCGCAGGCGCATGACAGGAGTGACCACGCTGAGAACCTGGGAAA